CATCTGATCTGTTGTTCGATTTGATGATCTCAGTTGGGTAATTTCATTCATTACATGGCGACTTTTGTTTCTGGATTTATTGTCGGTTTCACGGCGGTTTGGCAATTAGCGTTGGTAACTCTCGCGGTGGTTCCGTTAATAGCTGTGATCGGAGGAATCCACACCACTACTCTCTCTAAGCTCTCTAACAAGAGTCAAGACTCTCTTTCACAAGCTGGTAATATCGTCGAACAGGTAGTGTGCAACACAAATTCCCAGTAATCAGATCATTCTTCATCTTGAGTTTTTGTTTTTGAGGCTGATTTCGATTCTTTGGAAAAAAATGCAGACAGTTGTACAAATCAGGGTAGTAATGGCGTTTGTTGGAGAATCAAGAGCTTTACAAGCTTATTCATCAGCTTTAAAGATTGCTCAAAAACTTGGTTACAAAACTGGTTTAGCTAAAGGAATGGGACTTGGTGCTACTTACTTCGTTGTCTTTTGTTGCTATGCTCTCTTGCTCTGGTACGGTGGCTACCTCGTTCGACACCATTTGACCAACGGTGGTCTCGCCATTGCGACAATGTTCGCTGTAATGATCGGTGGATTGTAAGCACTCTTTATGACTCTTCTCTATGTTCATCATTTTCATCATTTGATTGAGGATTGGTTTGTTGATGGATATGAGTTTTTTGATTTAAAGGGCATTGGGACAATCAGCACCGAGCATGGCTGCATTTGCTAAAGCAAAGGTTGCTGCTGCAAAGATCTTTAGAATCATTGATCATAAGCCGACCATAGAGCGTAACAGTGAGTCCGGTGTGGAGCTAGACTCGGTCACGGGTCTAGTTGAGCTCAAGAATGTGGACTTTTCGTACCCGTCAAGGCCTGATGTTAAGATCCTTAACAATTTCTGTCTCTCTGTTCCTGCCGGCAAAACGATAGCTCTGGTCGGGAGCAGCGGTTCGGGAAAAAGCACAGTCGTTTCACTAATCGAGAGGTTTTACGACCCGATCTCAGGTGGTTCAACTTAATCTTACATTATGTTACTTTTCTTGCTGGTTTTGCTCAAGCTTTGTTCGTCTAACACGTTTAATCTTCTCTGCAGGACAAATTTTACTCGATGGGCACGACCTGAAGACGCTGAAACTGAAATGGTTAAGGCAACAGATAGGACTTGTGAGCCAAGAACCGGCACTATTTGCCACTTCTATCAAAGAAAATATACTATTAGGCCGTCCGGACGCTGATCAAGTCGAAATAGAGGAGGCTGCTCGAGTCGCAAATGCTCATTCCTTTATCATCAAACTACCCGATGGATTCGACACACAGGTCTGGTTTAATCATTACTCATCCGAAAGCCGGTTTACGTTGATAACCGGTTTCGAATTTGTGTTCTTAGGCTTGTTTAATTTCATTAGTTTATTAAGGTATTTTTGAAAGAGTCAAAAGAGAGAAGAGGTATGGTCATGGAAAAGCATTTATAACAGAGTAACATGGGTTTGGTCAACAACGCATGTGACCCAGACAAGTAGTTTCAGTCATGTGTGTTGATGTTGAAATTTTGGTTGTTCATGTGCATGTTATTTTTCTTGCTACTTTAACTTGAAAACCAGCAACCACTATTCCAATGGGTTTTGTTACTGGATATACAAATCTGTATCGACCGCGCGATTATATGTTTGTTTATTCATGTGAATAATGTCAGGTAGGGGAGAGAGGATTGCAGCTCTCAGGTGGGCAGAAGCAGAGAATAGCGATAGCAAGAGCCATGTTGAAGAACCCGGCGATACTGCTATTAGATGAGGCGACAAGTGCATTGGATTCTGAATCAGAGAAGCTTGTGCAAGAAGCTTTGGATCGTTTCATGATTGGAAGGACGACTCTTATCATCGCTCATCGTCTTTCTACCATTCGAAAAGCTGACCTTGTTGCTGTGCTTCAGCAAGGAAGTGTCTCTGAGATTGGAACGCATGATGAGCTTTTCGCCAAGGGGGAAAATGGAATCTACGCTAAGCTTATCAGAATGCAAGAGGCAGCTCATGAAACCGCCATGAACAATGCGAGAAAAAGTAGTGCTAGGTATGTTCTGTTACA